TTTTTTTTTAATCCTACTATGCAAGACAAATCTATTTAATGAAGTAAAAAAAAAACAACCCTGATGATTTTCAAATATATCTGAACACTGAAAATATTCAATAATGTGTTTTACCCCTTTGCAAGATTAAACAGTGTGTCTTCCAGCTTCCTACTGTAAGCTTGGTTGAATTCATCTCCAATGACTGCCAGCTGATGGCCAATTTGGGTAGCAGAACTGTAAGAAATCAGTACAATGCAAGCAGATTTGTCAAAAGACAACAAGTTACCATAAAAAATTATTGTTCCTAAAGCAGTTCAGCAACGTTTAGCCCTACCTAAAAATCCTGTTTATAAAGTCGTGGTGTTAATTCCACTATTTGTTTAAGCTTAGATGCTTAAAAATTTATCATCAAGTTGTTTTTAAAAAAAATAATTAGCTCTTAAAGCTGTATTTAGGCACCCAGTTATGTCTTCACTCTAACCTGCTAGGTATTTTGCACTTTTGAAAATTAGGATGTTTATTTAGGTGCCTGAATATTGAAGGCAAATGAAAATTAGAATTTCTGTTTGCGGAAGACAGTGATATATTACAACATTTCCTGAATAAGGGCAAAGTCAAAATATTGAAATATTGGCAAAACAATTAAACTTGACATGTCATAATGTTTCAGATCAAGAAAATACTGATTTCTACATCCACCAGAGTTGCTGATGTGACTTGCATAAGTTACCTGCTGATGTGACTTGGGAGATACTCTTTGGCCAGGGTAGAGGACCCAGAGGAGAACTGGTCCATAAACCTTGAACTTTGAGGCACTGTGCCTGTTTAGTTTTTAAAAAACAGTTTTTAGATTATTCCTAATACAAAATTTCAAATCCCTCCTCACCAAAACCTACATTCTGGGAGCATCTACACATGATACTACGTCACTGACCGGTAAAAACTGTGATGCTGCAGCTATGCCACTGTAGCACCATGCTTCCTCATAACACATTGCTATGGTGATGTAGCAGCTAAAAATAACTGCACAGCCAGCACACCATAGTACAGTCCACTAAATGGAAGTACTAAATGACAGCGCAGTAACAACGGTGCCGTACAGTCATGTGTTTTTGGTTATTTTACTATTATTACTAAATAAGGATCTTACTTAAGGCACTTAAAAAAAAAAAAGCTGGTCTAAGTACTTTTACATATTTTTTTAACCAGATAAATCATTCTATCCATGTACACCTACTCAGTCTTGAATGTGTATCTTGTCAATAAGTAAAACATCTTCAGAGCCTTTTTATGAAAGGTGTAATCTAAGTGCAAAGCATTATGTCCTATGACAAGTCTGGTAAATGAAGATGACTGATGGGTTTGTTTTAAACTCCTGGAGCGGATAACCTTGTAGGCTGCCGTATGGTTCTCTGTTGGAGGTTGAATGATACTCTTATGCTGCAAAAACACATGGGAAAACATTGCACCTGAATAGGTTATATAAAGGACAGTATGTGACTTGGGCAGTGTGGAGTCAAAGGAGACTCGGCTAAAGATTTTATATGCAAGTAATTGGTCTGCTTAAACATCTGTAAACATTTTAAACCAGCTATGAAAGTTCTTTCATTGGAAAAATTATGAGAAGTATCCTAAGAAAAAAGCTTCAGGAAAAAATACTTTCTAGCTTCTTGGAATCTCAGTCCAACAAGGAAGAATCGTGCAATGACAGGAAATCAAGTGGACTAGATGGAGACTGGAGAACTGCATTAGTAGCAAACAATTTGCTTTTTGGAAGAGCAGTTGTTTTGTATGTTGCTGGTTCTAATAAAGCACAGGGAGATAGTCTAACAGCCTGTTATGGGTGGTGTCTAGAGAATTCTGTAAAAATGGCTTCCTCAGCTGCTTGTTTTAACAGCTGGGCTCCTGATGAATAGTCATGTCTCCAACCTCATGCAGCATAGAAAGTCACAGTCTTTTAATGTAGAATAACCCTGTGTGTGATCAATGTTAGATGCTACAGGTAGTCTACAATTACAGTTATTCTGTGCTTGTGAGTTTTCACTGCAATTACCTGGCTAAGTAAATAGCCTTTGTTAAGCAAGGGGGGTGGGGTACGTGAGTGCTGGAGGGCAAAGCAGGAGAAGAATGAGTCCAGGGTGATACCTGATATTAAACTCCATTTGCTCTATGGTGTCTGGAATTGTTAAGAGGCTATTGTAACTTTCCTCATTCGGGACTCGTGTTCCATTCTGGTAGCTGGAGAAAACAAACTGCCTGGGGATTCTTCTTGCTTGAGACATCTTGCTCTGCAGAAGAAAATCCTTAATGATCTCTTCACACTTACTATAGTTATTTACAACATTTTCATTTTGGCTAGAAATTGTTTTAAATACCCAGCCCTCCTTACTTTTGCAGTCAGAACATGATTACTCCCCCATACCTATGTCAGAAGAAAAAGGACTTTTAAATCTTCTTCGGAAAATTTCCACTGTAAATTCAGTAGCTTATATTTCAAAATGATGCTTTTAACCATGATGCTCATTGCTGTTAGCTCACAGAGCCAAAATATTCCAGAAATGGGAAACTAGTATTATGATGTAAATAGAACTTCTCAGCATTTCACTTATCTCGAGATACCTTTTGCAGTGTTTACAGCTCTACTGCTGGGACTTGGCTAAATGTACAAACTGCTCCAACTGACTATGGTCCCAATTCAGGAAGGTCCTTAGGACTTCCTTTAATGGGACTACTTATGCTTAAAGTTAGAAATGTACTTAATTACTTTTCTCAGCTGAAGTCTTTGGGCTCCAATTCTGCAAGCCACAAGGAGCATATTGTGAAGTCAGAACTTGGGTTCAATCCTGCAAAGATGTAAATAAATGTCAATGTGAATGATTTCTTTGACTGCTCAAAGTTACTTGCATGCTGAAGTTTTTTCCAAGCTCTGGGTCTGCTCTCATTGAAGTAAATGACACCTTCACAGGTTCCAATGCAAAGGGCAATTAATTCCTTAGTCTTTTCAACTGCTTTCCCTACATCAGGGCTGTTCAACCAGCAGCCCGTGGGCCATATGTGCCCTGCAAGGTGTTACCATGCAGCCCATGGGCTCTTGTATGGCCACCATTCAGCTATGGCATCTGGGGACTCTGGGCTCCCCTCTTTTCTGACTTCTGCTTCCTGCACTGCCCCAGGGGCAGAGCAGCATGGTGGAAGGCAGGGAGAGGTCTGTGCTGTCCATGCTTTGTGTGCAGCTGGGGTAGCAATACCAGGTGTGCCCCCCCCCCCCCACCAATTCTCCAGAAGTTGGCCAGCCCTGCCCTAGAATACCCAAAGCGCCAAAGGGTTTGTCTATTAACCAACAGTCAGTGCACAGATAGTACAGGATACAATGTTTTTATGGTATTCTTTATATGTTTTGCTAGATCTTAATTACCAAGAAAAGTGATGTCAAAGCTGTGCAATGATGCTGTGTAAGAAAGAGTATCCCTTGTGTTTCTGCCGTTCAGTTGTAGTATGCTAGAGGTGCTGCTCTTTGTTCCCCAGGGCCCATGTCTGCTGAACTCATGAGGTCTCTCTTGAGCAGGCGTCTCTGTCTGTCTTGCATATTTTTGGCTTACCTTTTGGTTC